CTCTGAGGATCCCCATGTCTGTAGAAGTTAATTTCCAGAGTTTTTCTGAAAGTAAACAAGTATCTACAACATTGGTCCTTCTTTTCTGCAAGAAGAAAAAATGCTACCACCCTTTTGAGTTAATCCATGGAGACTCAGGATGTCCTTTAAACAACACCTGAAGTATAATATGATGGCAAATAAATTTACACTGGGTATAACTTGAATGGTCCCTAAGAAAAGTACATTTTGCATAGAGCAATCGTCCTGGACCAATCCTTGACATTTTTCTTGGTGAATTGGGGCTGAAAATATTTCACAAGGCACTTCTCATACCTAGGAACACTATCCCAAGGAAATAAACAGAGGTCCTATTCATACAAGGATCTGAGACCCCCAGACCTTTCTAGGCCTGATTTGGAAATCTCTCTGTCATGCTTCAGCAAGCTTTGTGGGCCATTTGAGAAGCATCTGTGCCCAAAACTCAAGAGATAGGTAGAAGCACTTGGCATGGACATTTCACAACACCCATATTAACTGTAACCCCTTGGAAGCAGGGTTTCTGGGAACCATATTGACTATATGTCTCTTAATTTTCACAGTTTCTTGAAGTTTTATTAGCCATTAAATGCTTTATTCCTGGCAATGTGGTCAAATCAGATCATGGAACAGTAATAGTTATGTATATGTACAATACTATGACAATAGATACCTTCTCCTATCAATCCTGGGCAATATTTGCAACTGCAAATGTCCAAGGAGGGGAATCAATTCAAATTCACTTTTTTGGGGAGACTATAGAATTTTATATCTCAGAGACTTTATGGGGCTTATGACAATAGCAGGGAGATTGAGTGTTTAAAATATTTCTTCTTCAAATTGTGAATTGCTTCAAGTAGGTTGCAGTCATTCAGAATTTCCCATTTTGTCAAATCCCATTTTTGGAAGTTGTCACAGTGAATGCTCTGCCTTATCCTGAGTTTTCATTCATTCATCCCCAGACTTGGTATGTACAATCTACACCTCCTTAGCTATGTCTCATACACCATAGCTTAGTTCTGAAAATGTTTGGTTCTTGTGTTACAGCACCAACTTTGTCCAAAAAATGACCAGACATTCTTTTTTCCCAGTTAGTGTATACCCTCAGCCGATGGAAGAGTGACTGTATATATCACTGGAAACCGTACCTAGTATACCCTATGAGTAGTACTCGAGTCAGTCCAATGATATAGTAAAGGCGGGATCCGTTACTCACCTCAGCCGATGGAAGAGCGACTGAGGGAAGGAACGAACCCCTGTACAGTAGATATAGTAGTGGTTACATAACACGATCATCCTCGATCACGATCTCAGATGCAGACTTCAACACTCCTCCTCAAATTGAGGATCAGTGAGAGGGTAAAAAGAAAAGAAAGATAAAAGGAAAAGAAAGATAAAAGGAAAATAAAACAAAATTGACGAACATGGGGGAGATAGATGTGAGGAGAAATAGATAGGTGAAATCCGAGCGCCGGGTGCGTCAAAACCCAGTGGGAAAAAGCTACCGGCTGGCAAGGTCGAAAGAAAATCTACTTAGGTTAAGAAGATTAAAAATCGAAACGCCAACCAGAAATGCTCCTCCTCGCACAAGCATCACCGGAGTCCAAGGAAAGGCCGCAGGCGTGTAAAATCAGGGCGAGGCAGTGCCTTGGTAAAGATATCAGTGACATTGTCGAAACCGGGGACGCGCCAAATGGTGAGGGAACCGTCGTCCACGCGCTCGCGAACAAAGTGATGACAGACGTCGATATGCTTGCTCCGTGAATGGTGGGTAGGGTCCGAAGAAAGGGCCTTGGCACCGTTGTTGTCACATAAGAGGACGGTTGGTCCAGGCTTGAGAAGGTGGACTTCATGAAGGAATTGCCGTAACCAGAGGGCTTCGCGGCTGGCCTCGCTAAGAGCAATGTATTCTGCCTCGGTGGAAGAGTTGGAAACAGTTTTCTGTCGGCGCGATGACCAAGTGAAGACGGCGCCACCAACGGAAAAGCAGTAACCCATAGTGGAGCAGGCAGTATCTGGGCAGTCAGCATGAGAGGAGTCGGAAAATCCAACAAGATCCAATTCGGGATCGCCCCCTAGAGTTAATGTAAGTAAGCGTGTACCCTTAAGATAACGGACAACACGTATGGCAGCATTCCAATGGGGTCGGCGGTAGCAATCAAGGAATTGGCATAAGCAGGCGACAGCAAACGAAATATCCGGACGAGTG